GCACACAGCCTGATGACATGGGGCTCGATCCCAGGACCCTAGGGTCATGACCTGAGCTGAAGGCATCTTAACCGACTGGGCCACCCAGGTGACCCAGAAAAGATACTTTTATGAATAATTCCTAGATAGTGCCAGCACACATCCCAAATTGTTCCGTACTTTCTGAAAGCCTAAAAGCTGAGAGATCATACTACTGGAAAGAAAACCACACTGGAGAGAATAGCTATTAGAGGCAGAAAGAGCCTTAGGAGGGTACTCGAATTTATAAGGAAAAGATGAATGCAACTGGAGTAGCTCTAGAGCAACAGCTGCAGGGGTCGTTTAGAAAACTGTACTTGAAACAGCTGATTATATTACTCTAATTCATGATTAGTACATTACAGACAATATCTGCCTCCAGTTTGAGGTGATGAAGATGGGTTTAGGTTGGAGAAGCAAGACAGTGCCCTACATCTGATGAAAAATACTTATCTACAGACTCAGAAAGCTCAATGAATTCCAATTAGGATAAACATAAAGAGATCCACTCAGACATATTGTAACTAAACTGCTGAAAGCCACAAAGAGAAAATCTTGAAAGCAGTAAGAGAAAAATAATTTATCAAGTACAAGGGAACAAAAATACAAGGACTGAATGACTTTTCATCAGAAATAATGGAGGCCAAAGGGCACTGGAATGCTATATTCAAAGTGCTGAAAGAAAAAGACTCCTGTCAACCAGTAATTCTACATTCAGAAAAAATATCCTTTAAAAAGGAAGGTGAAATAAAGACACCACCAGATAAATAAAAACTGGGAGAGTCTGTTGCAGAAATAGTAAAGGAGGTTCTTCAGATTGAAAAGAAATTAAATAGAGTAACTTTAATAAAATAGGACTAAAGAGCACTGGAAAGGTAATTATGTGGATAACTATAAAAGATGTGTGTGTGTGTGTGTGTGTGTGTGTGTGTGTGTGTGTGTGTGTGTATTCTCTCTTTTCCTGTCTTAATTTCTTTGAAAATCATAGTATTTAAAAAATAAATATAATACTATATTGTTTGATTGGATCACCACAGATGTAATTAATATAAGACAAAAATAGCCTACAAGGGGAGAGGAACATAAAATTACATGAGAGCAAAGTTGCTCGCTTTTGCCAGTCTTCAGTCAATATTAACCTGAGGTAGCTCAAGATAAGTTAAAGGTGTATACTGTTAATCCCTGGAGAAACCATTAAGAAAATAACTGAAAAATATATAGCAAAAAAATCAGAGGAAAAATCAGCAGAGGAATTAAGAGGACACACTAAAAATATGTCTAACATTAAAAAAGGCAACAAAGGTGAAACAGAAGAAAAAGACATAAAAGACATAAAAACAAAGAGCAAAAGAGCAGACATAAAGCCAACCATTTCAATAATGACATTTAGTAGGAACTGTCTAAAACTCTCATCAAGAGGCGCCTGGGTGGCTCAGTGGTTAAGCATCCGCCTTCGGCTCGGGTCATGATCCCAAGGTCCTGGGATCAAGCCCCACATGGGGCTCCCTGCTCAGCGGGAAGCCTGCTTCTCCCTCTCCCACTACCCCCCTGCTTGTGTTCCCTCTCTCGCTGTGTGTCTCTGTCAAATAAATAAAATCTTAAAAAAATAAAATAAAATAAAACTCTCATCAAAAGGCAGAAATGAGACTGGATAAAAAAGAAAGATCCAAGATGACACTTATGGATTGGAAGTAAAAGGATGAGAAAAATATATATGTCAATAATAACTACAAGGTCGTGTTTATATTAATATCATATCATATAAGCTTTCAGACAAATACCACAGAGATAAAGATGGACATTTCATAATGGTAAAAGGGCCATACATGAAGAATATAAAACAATTACAAATCTGAACATTTCTAGAGATAAAATGATAGTTCAAGACAGGCTAAGGAGATCTAGCATAGACATAATAATACAAAGGTAAGACAAATATTAGAATTAAATAAATATTAAAAAAAACTCTCTTAAAATGAAAGATTTGAAACTCTGAAGGGGTACACCATGATTTAGGAACACTTATCCCAAAAAGATATACCCTAGTAAAGTTACTGGACTTCAAAAATAAATATTCCTTTGGGCAGCCAGGCAAAATAATCATGTCACATAAAAGAAGGAAAAGTTACTTATATTCAGTGACAGACGACAATACACAACTTTTACAAGGCACTCAAAGAAACTCTAAACTCTTTTAAGTATAAAAGCTATGGGTAGTGAGCTTTAAACATGCAAGAAATTGAGGAGTATTCTGCCCACTCTTGACTAAACTCAGAAAGTTAGATTTAGTAAATTAAGAGATGATTAGAGAAATTACGGCAAAAAGAGTGATGATGAGTATTAAACACGTTTAATGTATAGATTTTATTGGCAAAATAGAATATAAATGTTACATATTCTAGTAACATATAAATGGTATAATGAGCACAAACTGGAAAGGGAAAATGGAAAATGCGAGGGTGATTACCTCATTTATGATGCCAAGAAGCCAAACTATATTACTTAAAACCAAAACAATTCAAATTTTGGAATACATATTTACTACTACAAAAGTAAAACATTAAGATAATAAATGAACAACAATAGGACAGATAAACCAGTATCTAAGGTAGTGAAAAGGCAGAAAGAACATTAAAAATTAAAAAAAGAGAATATAACCACAGAAACCAAGAAAATTAAAAAGAACCATTAGATACCACTTGGCTCAACTCTATGTAAATAATTCAGAAAAGCTAAAGCTATCCTGTTCCCAACAACTGAAAAGAAAAAAAAAGGGCAAAGTTGCAAATTCTTTCCAAGTTTAAACAGATTCCAAAGCCCAATCAAAATTATGCTAAAAAGGAAAACTATACACCATCTCATTTATGAATATTAAAACAAAGTTTAAAAAATTAACAAAGAGAATCTATCTTAAGAAAATACTTCCTGACCGAGTAGTTTATTCTAGAAGGGCAGAATGATTCAATACTGGGAAATTTTATTAAAACTAATCAAATCAATAGACCCAAGAAGAAACACCACATAATCATCTCCACAGGTGCTGAAATACATGACAAAATTCAGCATCTTTGCTAAAATACAATAAAACTGGAAATGAAGAATACTTTCTTACCATGAAAAACGATAGGTATCTCAGATCCATGCTTGAATCAGAAAGGACCAGAGAGAACTAAAGGAACATGACAGGATGCCTTCCATTCTCACTAACAATTAACACTGTAGCAAAAGTACTTGCACAAATGAAAAGCATACAAGGTTATTAGGAAATCTGAAAACCACAACAGTATCTATCCTCCTTAATAAAATCAAAATAAAATACTAGCTGTCTATTCATTTACTCTTTTATTAAGAAAAAAGGAAGATCCCTTATCAGGAACACTCCAAAAACAGAGCTTTGAAGAGGTACTGCGGTAATAGACACTAAACACTAAAGATCCTCTGTAATCAAAATAGTGCAGTAGAGGTGTATGAATAGATATTCAACCACTGGAACAGAACAGAAAATCCAGAAACAAACTCAAATATATTCTTTAGTATAAGAAAGAGATGGTATTCTCACATTGGTGGAGAAAGGTGAATTATTCAATAGAACATAACCTACCCTGAATATAGAAACATGAAAATTCTTTCTAAATACAGACAAAATCCAGAATACATAAAATTCAATTAACTTTATAACAGCAACAAACTTCTGCATATGAAAGATTAAAAAAATAGATTTCAACAGAAGTCAAAAAATGAGAAAAAATATTTGCAACTCATATCACAAGGGTTAAACTCTAATATCTAAGGAGTTCTTAAAACTCCATACTAAAACATGCCAAGAATCTAACAGAAAACAATGGGCATCTGTTTCTATGCCCCAGAAAAGCAAAACAGAAACAGCTTTATAAGGGCATAAGCTTCATCTTTTTCTTTGATCCCCATGCCTGGCATATAGTAGAGGCTCAGCAAATGTTTACTGAAGGAATTTTATATGGATGATTTTTATATTAAGCCAGAAACATGATAATTATTTTTTATAAAATTAGTGATTTGAAACACCCTAGACAAAGAAGTAATCTGACTTATGTTCCTAAAATTAGTGACAGTGGAAACTAAGTTATTTCTAGATGTTTCAAAAGAGGGCAGAGCTAGAGAGCATAAATCGCAGAGCATGAGTAAATAATTTTAATAAACTCACACGAATGTCTTGTCTGTTGATGAAAGGAAATCCAGTATAGGAAATAAAGTTAGCACTGTAATCTTTAAAATCAAAGGACAATAATATGTGTAATTAGGGATGTGATAAGGACTTATTCATTGGAGGCTTATACATAAACACAATATACAGTCAAGAGAAATTTGAATTTACCTTCTACCATATTACCAGCCTTCTGAAAAATTCTCTCTTCACACCACTGACAATGGATCAGGTACTGGATCTTCTTGGCTGTCTCATCTGCAGAGGTAGGCCCCCTCAAAACTCTCACAACAACCAACACAAAATGTTCCAGAGCCACTGCAAACAGTACCTCAATGCCTTTGTTACATCGGGCTGCAGCTCTGGAAAGAAATTTTTCAAATTATTTTGGGGGCTTATCATTTTTCTTTGTTTGGCATTATATTGACAATACTAACCTGGACAGGAAACCATGGATGGGTTATGGGAACATAAGGAAAGTTCAGTTCTTAGTAGCAGTGTTTTTAAAAGATCATTACTGTAACTTTTACACAAACTGAAACACAGGTAATAAAGGATGCTTGGCAGAATCTTTAGCAACTAGACATTCTCCATTATGGTATCCTCTCAGTGAGACTACATCCTCTGATTTTCAATGTCATTTTGTTTCTTGTCATCACCACCACCCTTCTTCCTTTTTATCTACTTTTTTCTATAAAAGCTTCTTCCAAACAATGATTATTGAGGACTAACTACATGCAGGCTGGTATGTGCTGAATGTTCAGTGAAAAATATATAGGCAAAGTTTTTGCTATTAATTTTATAGACTTTTGGATTAAATTCTAATTGATATACCATTTATGTACTTAGTTTTCCCTCTGCAGTTGTATGTACTTAGTTCATATGTATTAATTTCAACTTGTTGATATTACATCATAAACAGTTTTAAGTATATACAATAGGTCCTTGGTGTGTATACATACTAGATATCAGAGTTTTCAGATAATTAGGAATAACACCAAAGGTATATGAAGTCTACTATAATCCATATTATGTTGAGGTAGGAATTTCAGTCTAAATGCTGGGAATCCAGTGTTGGGGCTAGTGAATGAACTGGCTAATCATGCATTATCTATACTCTCAGGGTCAATTTATATAATATTATTCTTCTAGCAGAATATTCTGAATAAAGTGGGTGCTCAAAAAAAGAAAAAGCCTTTCTTTAACTGTTTAGAAATCCTGATGAAAAACAGAACTTTTTGTTTTGTAGGTAAGATCATTTTGCAGAATCAAGTTTATAAGCCATCATTTTAAAAGTTTACTTATGTTTATTTTTATTTTTGTTTTAGTAATCTCTACACCCAATATGGGGTTTGAACTCACAACCCTGAGATCAAGAGTTACATGCTCCATCGGTTGAGCCAGCCAGGCACCCCTATAAGCCATCATCTTATTCAAACTATGTAAATAAAGGAAATGAAACAGACAGAAAACAATTTTTGGGGTGCTGGGGTGGCTTAGTCAGTTGAGCTCCAACTCTTGATTTCGGTTCAGGTCCTAATCTCAGGTTTGTGGGATCATGCCCCGCATTGGGCTCCATGCTTGGTGCAGAATCTACTTGAGATTTTTCTCTCCCTCTGCTCGAGCTCTCTCCCTCCCCTCACTCTAAAATAAACAAACAAATAAAATCTTAAAAAAACAAAAACAAATTTTTCTGGGCACTTAGGTGACTCAGTTAAGTGTTCGACTCTTGAGTTCAGCTCAGGTCTTAATCTCAGGGTCATGAGTTCAAGCCCTGTGTTGTGCTCCATGTTGGGCATGGCACCTACTTAAAAATGAATAAATAAATATAAAACAAATCCCACCCAAAAACCCCGAATTTTTCTCAATCTAAAAACAACGTTTGCATTTTCTTTTCATGGTGCTATCCCCCATCTACCCTACATTGTTAAAATAACTGATTTGACATTAACTTTCATTTTTATCTCTTCTTTCTTAAAACTAATTTTTTTATTAACTTTTTTTTTCAATTAACATGTAACGTATTATTTGTTTCAGGGGTACAGGTCTGTGTACAGCTTACACAACTCACAGCACTCACCACAGCACATACCCTCCCCTACGTCCATCACCCAGCCTTACACAACTCACAGCACTCACCATAGCACATACCCTCCCCTACGTCCATCACCCAGCCACCCCATCCCTCCAGCAACCCTCAGTTTGTTTCCTGAGATTAAGAGTCTCTTATGGTTTGTCTCCCTCTCTTAAACTAATTTTAATAAAACTTTTCATTGGAGAGTAAACTATTTTAGGCACAAAACTTTTAAATCAAAGTAAAACAAAAACAACCTAAGATTACCAAACAAATCAAGATTATGGACACAAATATAGAATTTGGACTTTGTGCATATTTTGAAAAATGCAACTGGCACTTTTTGTAATATTATCTCTATCATATACCCAAACATACTAGGTACGTTGTTGTCAATCTGGTACCTTGCCACTGCAGCTACAACGATTCTGGCTGCTAGTTCCTTGTAATATTCAGTTCGGACAATATTACAGCCGTAGTGACGCCGGGCAACATGCTGTGCCTTGGCATATAAAGAACTAATATCTGTAGAAGTCACTGAAACTATGCCAAGGTTTCTTATATTTCTGAATGCAGAATCTAGATAGTTCACAGATGTTCCAAAAGGGTCTAGGTGTCTAAAATCAGAAAGAATACAGACATATTTAAAATCATACTAGTAATCAAAATGATACCACTATCATTATGTCTAATGATAAAATTCCATGGATTCAAAAGTACTTTACAAATCAATTTTAAATATATAATTCTGTTTTTAAATTAAGTAATAAAATGATCATATGATATGTCAGACATATAAAAGTGAAATGAGGCTTAGAAGAAAACTGTCATGCCTGGGAATTTTATTTCAAATGCTAGAAAATGTTCTTATTGCATTCCTTAGGCCAATGGAAAAAACTGTATTAATGCAAATAAACAAACTACAGCCTTATAGCCCCCCACCAAAAATCCAGCCAAGTTTAGAAAGTGACAAACACATGCACACATACACAACAAGTGACACAGCAAATTTCTTTCACTTACATGAAATCAAAGGATCTCAAATGCATCAGTACATTGGCATCCATTTTGGTCACCTGAATATTACCAAGGTTTTCCTCTCCTTCTTCAAGAATATCATCACTCTCTTCCTTTTCCTTACTGTCCACCACCACTTTCAGTTTGTTTAAATGGCAGTTTTCCTGAATCAGTGTCACAGAGTTCTCATTCAAGTCATTAATTGTAACCTTAACTGCACTTCCAAGATGTTTTGCCCATTGTAATCCCATTATCCCTTAAGAGAAATGTGAAGGAAAATGAATTTTAAATTATAGTAATTAAAGAATAAAAACAGTATATAATAAATATTTTATAAAAACAAAACCAAATTGTTTCAAAATCTTAGTGTTTTTGTAATCTTTTTTACTTTCTCACTACAAAGCCTCTGAAGAAAAGTTACCACACACACACACACACGCACACACAAAATGTGTCTAACAGATTTTCATTAACACTTTTTCTAAAGCTTTTCTGTAACACATATTCAAATACAATAACCATGTTTGTTCTGATTATTTTGGGGACTAGGTTTTCTTTGTAAAAATTTCTTAAAATGGAATGCTTTTTTCAAACAAAATCTTACAGAGAAACCCAATATACAATATGAATAAGAGTGGAGTTACTCTGCTTGGGGGATGGGAAGTTGAAACTCCTCTTGCTGAAGTTCACCTAATGCACCAAAATACGAAAACAACTTTAATGGACCACCATTTTTTCAAACACTATACAACAGCATCATTGTGAATTAAACAGAACTACTCTGTATATGTAAGCAAATGATCAAGAACTCAGACAAAGAAAGCCTCTCCTCACAGGCTCCCTACACCTCCTGGATTAGTGCTGTAAGGGCCATTCGTTGCAATACAGGAGATGGTGGCACAGGCCCAGCCGCTGCGGATTAGAATCCTCTCTGTGCTACAAGTCTTGGCCAAAGTCTCCACTCACGTGGCTCATAAATGTAAACATTTAACATCTACTATGTGCCACGGTCTTTACAAATATTTTCAGGTTCTCATAACAAGCCTGTGATCAGTTCTAATATTCACATTTTTAGAGATGGGGAAGCATGCAAACTGACTGTTATGAACTGACTTAAGTTTACAAAGGAACATTACAAGAAAGGACTGAATAGCTCAGACATTAGCTTTAATGATTTCAGGTGACAAAAGAGTAGTTCATTGCAGCATTATTCACAATAGCCAAGACACGGAAACAACATTAAGTGTCCACTGATGGATAAAGAAAATGTGATATAAGCACACACACACAATAAAATTACTATTCAGTCATAAAAAAGAAGAAAATCCTGCCCCTTATGACATCATGGATGGACCACTGGGGCACTATGTTCAGTAAAATGTCTGAGAAAGACAAATACTATATGATTGCACTTATATGTGGAATCTAAAAAAAACCAAACTCATAGAAACAAAGATCAGATTTGTAGGTTGCCAGAGGTGGGGGTGGGGGGGGGGGATCGAGGGTGGAAGAATTGGGTGAAGATGGTCAAGAGTCCAAAGAAGATATACAGATGGCCAACAGACATATGAAAAGATGCTCGATATCACTAATGATGAGTAAAAGGTAAATAAAAATGAGATATCATCCTTACACTTGTGAGAACGGCTAGAATCAAAAAGACAACTGTTGGAGGGAGGAGCAAGATGGCAGAGGAGTAGGAGACCTAAATTTCATCTGGTCCCAGAAATTCAGCTAGATAGTTATCAAACCATTCAGAACACCTACAAACTCAACAGATCGAAGAAAAGAAAAGCAGCAATTCTACCAACAGAAAAGCGACCACTTTCTGGAAGGTAGGACGTGCGGAGAAGTGAATCTGAGGCGATATACGGGAAGATAGACGGCGGGGGAGGGAGCCTCCGTCAGCCACTACTGGCAAGTGATAGAGCAGCGGGGCACTAAATTGGAACTTTTAGAAGTCCACTCCACTGAGGGACGTTGCTCCACTGGCTAAGCAGGGGGTGAAACCCTTGCTGGGACAGTGTGGTCTCAGGACCCTCGGTGTCACAGAAAGACCAGGGGTGCCTGACTGCAGCAGAGCTCCCAGGTATTGGAGCGGGGAAGCCGGCTGCAGAGACGGAGCCGAGGCGCGGGCTCTCAGCTCGGGGTTGCCATAAACTGTGATCCGCGGCACAGTCGGGCCACTGCTCCTCCAGCAGGGACCCAACAAGTGGTAGATCCGGGGAGACTCCCCTTCCTCCCCCAGGAGGAGCGGCGCGGGGAGCACACCACAGGGATCTGCTGGGTTTGGAGACTCCATATGGGGTTGGGTGCCAGAGATAGAGGGGTCGGGTGCCAGATAGAAACGCTCGGTCACAGGCCGGGGTAGCATGGAGTGCAGCCGGAGACCAGGGAGACAGGAGTGATTGCTTTTCTCTGGGGGCGCACTGAGGAGTGGGGCCCCAAGTTCCCAGCTCCTCCCAGACCAGAGATTGGGAGGCCGCCATTCTCACTCTCATCCTCCAAAGCTGTTCGGAAAGCTTGAAGGGAACAAAAGCTCCTGAGAGCAAACCCGAGCAGATCACTTAGCCAGACCCGACAAGGGCGGGGCAATTCCACCTCCCGCAAAGACATTTGGGAACCATGGCAAAAGGCCCCTCCCCCAGAAGATCAGCAAGAACAGCCAGCCAAGACCAAGTTCACTGATCAATGAGAATGGCAGAACTCCAGCCCTAGGGGAATACACCACATAAAACTCATGGATTTTTTCCCATGATCCTTTAGTCTTTCAAAGTTAATATTTTTAAAATTTTTTTTTTCTATTTTTTTAGTTGACTTTTTCTTCTTTCCTTTTTCAACCAACATCTTATCAATTCCTTTTTTAAAACCTTTTTTAATTTTCATTTTTACAGTCATATTCTATCCCTTCATTGTAGTTAACCTTATTTTTTGTATATATATATGTTTTTCTTTCTTTAAAATTTTGGGATACAGTTTCCTCTAACAGACCAAAATATATCCTAAATCTAGTGTAAGACGTTGTCCTAGTCTCCTGCCTGATCACATTCTCTTTCTTCAACCAATTTCTTAACAATTCCTTTTTAAAAATCTTTTTTAATTTTCAACTTTACAGTCATATTCCATCCCTTCCTCGTATGTACCCTTATTTATATATATATATATATATATATATATGTTTTCCTTTCTTTAAAATTTTAGGAAGCAATTTCTTCTAACAGACCAAAATACACCCGAAATCTAGTGTGTGGCTCTGTTCTATTAACCAGCCTGATCATATTCATTTTCTTTCTTTTTTTTTTTTCCCCTTTCTTTTCCCCCAGTTTCGGGTCTCTTCTGATTTGCTTAGTGTGTATTTTTCTGGGGTCGTTGTTACCCTGTCAGCATTTTGTTCTCTTATCCATCTATTCTCTGGACAAAATGACAACACGGAAAAACTCACCTCCAAAAAAACAACAGGAGGCAGTACCGACTGCCAGGGACCTAATCAATATGGACATTAGTAAGATGTCTGAACTAGAGTTCAGAATGACCATTATAAAGATACCAGCTGGGCTTGAAAAAAGCATACAAGAGGGGCATCTGGGTGGCTCAGTCAGTTAAATGTCTGCCTTTGGTTCAGGTCATGATCCTGGGGTCCTGGGATTGAGCCCCGCATCATCCTCCTTGCTCAGCAGGAGTCTGCTTCTCCCTCTCCTTTTGCCCCTCCCCCTGCTTGTGCTCTCTGTCAAAGAAATAAATTAAATCTTTAGGGGAAAAAAAAAAAGAAAAAGAAAAAAGCATAGACGATACTAGAGAATCCCTTTCTGGAGAAATAAAAGAACTAAAATCCAACCAAGTCGAAATCAAAAAGGCTATTAATGAGGTGCAATGAAAAAATGGAGGCTTAACTGCTAGGATAAATGAGGCAGAAGAGAGAATTAGTGATACAGAAGACCAAATGATGGAGAATGAAGAAGCTGAGAAAAAGACAAACTACTGGATCACCAGGGCAGAATTCTAGAGATAAGTGATCCATAAGATGAAACAGTATTAGAATAATTGGGATCCCAGAAGAAGAAAGAGAGAGAGGGGCAGAAGGTATATTGGAGCAAATTATAGCAGAGATCTTCCCTAACGTGGGGAAGGAAACAGGCATTAAAATCCAGGAGGCACAGAGAACCCTTCTCAAAATCAATAAAAATAGGTCAACACCCCGACATCTAATAGTAAAACCTACAAGTCTCAGAGACGAAGAGAAAATCCTGAAAGCAGCTCGGGACAAAAGGTCTGTAACCTACAATGGTAGAAACATTAGAAGGGCAACAGACCTATCCCCAGAGGCCTGGCAGGCCAGAAAGGACTGGCATGATACATTCAGAGCACTAAATGAGAAAAATATGCAGCCAAGTATACTATATCCAGCTAGGCTGCCACTGAAAATAGGGGAGGTAAAAAGCTTCTAGGACAAACAAAAACTAAAAGAACTCACAAACACGAAACCAGCCCTACAAGAAATATTGAAAGGGGCCGTAAAAGCAAAGAGAGAGCCTAAAAGTAACATAGACCAGAAAGGAACAGAGACAATATACAGTAACAATTACCTTACAGCAATAAAATGGCACTAAATTCATATCTTTCCATAGTTACCCTGAATGTAAGTGGGCTAAATGCCCTAATCAAAAGACACAGGCTATCAGAGTAGATAAAAAAACAAGACCCATTGATACACTGTCTGCAAAAGACTCATTTTAGACCCAAAGACACCTCCAGATTGGAAGTGAGGGGGTGGCAAACCATTTACCATGATAATGGACACTAACAGAAAGCTGGGGTGGCAATCCTTGTATCAGACAAATTAGATTTTTAAACCAAAGACTATAATAAGAGATGAGGAAGGACACTGTATCATACTTAGATGGTCTATTCAACAAGAAGATCTAACAACTGTAAATATTTATGCATCTAACATAGCAGCCATTATATAAGCCTATTAATAACAAAATCAAAGAAACACATAGACAACAATACAGTAATAGTAAGGGACTTTAACACCCTCTTCACTGAAATGGACAGATCATCATCTAAGCAAAAGATCAACAAGGAAATAAAGACTTTAAATGACACACTGGACCGAATGGACTTCAGAGATATATTCAGACCATTCCATCCCAAAGCAACAGAATACACATTCTTCTCTAGTGCCCATGGAACTTTCTCCAGAATAGATCACATCCTAGGTCACAAATCAGATCTCAACCAGTACCAAAAGACTGGGATCATTCCCTGCATATTTTCAGAACACAATACTTTGAAACTAGAACTCAATCACAAGAGGAAAGTTGGAAAGAACTCAAATACATGGAGGCTAAAGAGCATTCTACTAAAGAATGAATGAATCAACCAGGAAATTAAAAAAGAATTTAAAAAAATTCATGGAAACCAATGAAAATGAAAACACAACTGTTCAAAATCTTTGGGATGCAGCAAAGGCAGTCCTAAGAGGAACATATATAGCAACACAAGCCTTTCTCAAGAAGAAAGATCCCAAATACACAACCTACCCTACACCTAAAGGAGCTGGAGAAAGAACAGCAAATAAAGCCTAAACCCAGCAGGAGAAGAGAAATAATAAAGATCAGAGCAGAAATCAATGAACTAGAAACCAAAAGAACAGTAAAACAGATCAATGAAATTGGGAACTGGTTCTTTGAAAGAATTAATGAGATTGATAACCCCCTGGCCAGACTTATCAAAAAGAAAAGAGAAAGGACCCAAATCAATAAAATCATGAATGAGAGAGGAGAGATCACAACCAACACCAAAAGAATACAAACAATTATAGGAACATATTATGAGCAACTATATGCCAGCAAATTAGACAATCTGAAAGAAATGGATGCATTCCTAGAGACGTATCAACTACCAAAACTGAACCAGGAAGAAACAGAAAACCTGAACAGACCCATAACCAGCAAGGAAATTGAAGCAGTCATCAAAAATCTCCCAACAAACAAGAGCCCAAGGCCAGATGGCTTCCCAGGGGAATTCTACCAAACATTTAAAGAATTAAGTACCTATTCATCTGAAACTGTTCCAAAAATTAGAAATGGAAGGAAAACTTCCAAACTCATTTTATGAGGCCAGCATTACCCTGATCCCAAAACCAAAGACCCCATCAAAAAGGAGAAGTACAGACCAATATCCCTGATGAACATGGATGCAAAAATTCTCATCAAGATACTAGCCAATAGAATCCAACAGTACATTAAAAGGATTATTCACCATGACCAAGTGGGATTTATTCCTGGACTGCAAGGTTGGTTCAACATCTGCAAATCAATCAACGTGATACAATATATTAATAAAAGAAAGAACAAGAACCATATGATCCTCTCAATAGATGCAGAAAAAGCATTTGACAAAGTACAGCATCCAATCTTGATTAAAACTCTTCACAGTGTAGGGATAGAGGGTACATACCTCAATATCATAAAAGCCATCTATCAAAAACCCACAGTGAATATCATACTCAATGGGGAAAAACTGAGAGCTATTCCCCTAAAGTCAGGAATGCGGCAGGGATGTCCATTATCACCGCTGCTATTCAACATAGTACTAGAAGTCCTAGCCTCAGCAATCAGACAATAAAAAGAAATAAAAGGCATCTGAATCGGCAAAGAAGTCAAACTCTCACTCTTTGCAGATGATATGGTATCATATCATCTGCAAAGAGAGTAAGAATCCTAAAATTTGCACGGAACCAGAAAAGACCCCAAATAGCCAGAGGAATGTTGAAAAAGAAAAGCAAAGCTGGTGGCATCACAATTCTGGACTTCAAGCTCTATTAAAAGCTGTAATCATTAAGACAGTATGGTACTGGCACAAAAACAGACACACAGATCAATGGAACAGAATAGAGAGCCCAGAAATGGACCCTCAACTCTATGGTCAACTAATCTTTGACAAAGCAGTAAAGAATGTACAATGGAAAAAAAACAGTCTCTTCAACAAATGGTGCTGGGAGAACTGGACAGCCACATGCAGAAGAATGAAACTGGACCATTTCTTTACACCACACACAAAAATAGACTCAAAATGGATTGAAGACCTAAATGTGAGATAGGAATCCATCAAAATCCTTGAAGAGAACACAGGCAGCAACCTCTTCAACCTCAGCCGCAGCAACTTCTTCCTAGAAACATGACCAAAGGCAAGGGAAGCAAGGGCAAAAATGAACTACTGGGACTTCAAGATAAAAAGGTTTTGCACAGCAAAGGAAACAGTCCACAAAACCAAAAGACAACCGACAGAATGGGAGAAGATAATTGCAAATAACATATCAGCTAAAGGGCTAGTATCCAAAATCTATAAAGAACTTATCAAACTCAACACTCAAAGAATAATCCAATCAAGAAATGGGCAGAAGACATGAACAGACATTTCTGCAAAAAATCCAAATGGCCAACAGAAACATGAAAAAGTGCTCAACATCACTCGGCATCAAGGAAATACAAATCAAAACCACCTCACACCAGTCAGAATGGCTAAAATTAACAAGTCAGGGAATGACAGATGTGGAGAAAAGGGAACCCTCCTACACTGTTGGTGGGAATGCAAGCTGGTGCAACCACTCTGGAAAACAGTATGAAGGGTCCTCTAAAGTTGAAAATAGAGCTACCCTATGCCAGCAATTGCACTATTGGGGATTTACCCCAAAGATACAAATGTAGTGATCCGAAGGGGCCCGTGCACCCCAGTGTTTATAGCAGCAATGTCCACAATAGCCAAACTATGGAAAGAGCCTAGATGTCCATCAACAGATGAATGGATAAAGAAGAGGTGGTAGTATACACACACACACACACACACACACACACACACACACACACACACACA